ATTTACCGCTGATCGTCAGCAGAACAATGGGTCGAGAAGGCTCTTGCTTTTGTTGAGAGCGTCTTCTGTGAAACAGCTTTTTCAAATCCCTTACGAGTATCTAAATAACCAGCTGGCTCAATAAAATTATGTGCCTTCCAACCTCCTTTCAAATCCTGAAAAGAGCTGTGCTTGTCTGATTTGTAGTGCAGGCTGGCCTTGGACTACGTAATTCAGACTAGCCTAGAGTTTGTGGTGTTCTTCCTGCCTCAGACGCCCGAGTAGTGGGATTGTAGGTGTAACGTCATACTTTTATTTTTGTTGTTTTTTGAGACAGAGTCTCACTATGTAGTTGAGACTGACCTGGAACTCACTATGTAGCCCCGGCTGGTCTCGAACTCGCGGCGATCCTCCTGCCTCAGCCTCCCGAGTGCTGGAATTACAGGTGTGCGCCACCATGCCCGGCCTGCCCGTGTTTTTGTTTGTTCTGTACTGGGAATTGAATTTAGAATGTTGCACTTACCAGGCAGGCACAGGCCACTGAGCTAAATCCGTTGCCCTCTGGCGTGTTTTCTTAAAGAGTAGGTCATATTTATACTGCTGACATCTCCCTTATGTCCCAGTGGTGTGTATTTGCAAATTAAATAGTTGAAGAGAAATTCTGGAATGGCCGCCTCTACCATCCTAATACTTTTGGCCTCAAAACGTTTTCCAGTTTCCCAAGCTGAAAGGCCCATTTGTTGTTGAACAGGTGAACCCTGTGCAGAAAACAGGTCAAATCGGTTTTGAATTGACACAATCTCTTGATCTGCCCCAGGGGTGCAAGGGCCTCCCATCAGTCCTAGATCTCCTTTGAGTTTTTCCGCCCAGGCAGGACTAGTGAATTCCAAAACAGCCAGTTTATAATTCCTTTATTTTTTTTCTTTCTTGTTCTAAAACTGAGGTGTCCAGATGAATTTGTATCCCCCCTTTTTTTTTTCCTTCCCGTACTGGGGATCAAACTCAGGACCTTGAGCTTGCCAGGCAGGCAAGGTGCCACCAAGCGAAATCCCCAGCCCTGTACCCGTTTTCCAGTTCCCTCCAATAATGAGGGTGTTAACCAAAACCTTTGACTGTACCCAGTTCCCTAAGACTGCCCGAACACACTGGGAAGGGGTGCGGCTGGTTCCTTCGGCCTTTGGACTTATTTTTTGCCATTTGGTGAAAATTGTGTGCTTTTCTGAACAGAAACACTTGAGTTTGTCCATTGTTCCAATATAGGACAGCTTTTCTTGTAAATTCTGGCAAATTTAACACTAAACCTTTTCCTGGTAGAGACAAATGAGCTCTTTTAGGGACTTTAGTAATATGGGAAGCGATATGTTTTTGTTTTTTATTTGTTTGTTTTTGTACCAGGGATCAAACTCGGGTCCTTGTGATTGCAAGGCAGGCGGCAGCACCAGTGAGCTAAATCCTAGCCTAGGACTTTAGTAATGTGGAAAGTCCCTCGGTATTTTTGGCAGGCACCCCTCCCACAGAGTATAATATAGTTTTTTCCCCCGTTTGAGGCAAAAAACATTGAGATACTTCATTGTGAAGCGCACTTCAGAAGTATTAAAGTTCAAGGAAAAAAATCCTTGCAGCCAACAGCTTCTTAGAAAAACAGAAACATTTATAAAAGTGAAAAGTATTCCTGGAACACCTAACGTTTGCTTTTTCCTGCCAGAGTATGAATGGTCTTTCCTAAACCGAAATTCCATTGTGACGACTGTGCAAATTATACGAAATCAGTAGATTTATTGCTTTGGCATCATAGTTTAAATGGCCTATTGGATAATGTATCACAAAGGCTTGTGTCGGGTGTGGGGCACATGGCTGTAATCCCAGATTTAGCAAGAGACCCTATCTCAAAACAGGCAAGAAAGGAAACATCAGGATTTGGGGTTTTTTTTGAGGGGGTGGTTTTTTGAGACAGGGTCTCACTATGTAGCCCAGGCTGGTCTCAAACTCTGCGATTCTCCTGCCTCAGCCTCCCAAGTGCTGGGATTACAGGTGTGCACCTCCATACCTGGCTGAAACTTTAGGATTGTAATTTATTTGTATATTTAACAATTCTTGAGAATCAATCACGTGCCAGATCCTAACTTATGCTTGAATGGATCTTGTGGAGAGTGGGAAGAGGGGGCAATATAATCAGGAGATTGGAAAGTTTGAATGTTTAGTAGGATGAAAATACAGAAAGAAGCTGGCAAGAGGTTCCAGGCGGAACCCCAGGTGGGTTCGGAACTGTCCCGTGCAGTGGAGAAGCGGAGAGAATGAGTTGGGAAGGATAGGGTGTGAGGGACGTCAGAGAGAGAGGAAGGTTCAGCCCAAGACTCTGGCGTGGGTCGTCACAGCGGCAGTGCACACATACCACACTGGGCCTGGGTTTTAGCAGGGTTTCTCGATGTACTGGGAATAAGCCAAAGTAAGAACCCAGTGAACAGGTGGGAAAAGGTCAACCCTAGTAGCAGAGGGTCCCGGATGTCAGGGCTTTTTTGGGCACCGGGGATCAAACTCCAGACCTTGCCCCTGTGAGCAAGGCGGGGTTGGATGTCTTTTGAAGATAAATCCAAGAGGACCTGATGAACACATGATTTATAAAAAAAGGAATCAAAGATGAGCCCTGTTGTAGTCAAGGTTTGCAAGGGAAATAGATTTAGTACAGGACACATAGATTATAGGATTATTTTATGATATTTACCCCAAAAGTCAAATACAAAGGAGGGCTAGAGATTAACCGCACACCGGAGGTGCAAAGAATCCAGGTGTGGGCCTGGATCCCAGCAGTTTCCCACGCAAGTCCAGCTAAAGGCGTAGAGTCCAAGGCAGTGTCCTCCTCGAGTCCAGCCGGTGGCCCGGCGCCCTCGGCGATGTCTCCTGCTTGTCCGTATTGAGGGTCCGCACCTGGGAGGCCCAAAGGCCAGTGGTGGAAGCCGGAAAACCTACGCCGGTGAGATGCAGGATTTGTGTCACCAAGCTGAGGGATCCGCGTTGGAGCCAGGAAGTGATGCTCGTGGTGAAGATCAGAGCTCCCTGAGAAGAACGGCCAAGTTCACATCAGGAAAACCGTCTGCAGCAGCCCCAACCTCCTCCTCCAGTTGTCTTGTTTGGCACCAGGGATTGAATTTAGGACCTTGCACTTCTGAGGCAGGCGCGGTGCCAATTAACTAATCCCCAGCCCCCAGCTAAGATTTTTATTTTCAATGTATTAAGTCATTGTGTTGTTTGTTTTTTGCAGTGCTAGAGATTGAACTCAAAGTCTCTCAAGGCATTGATTCAATGATTCACAACCCAGCCCCTAACTTTATAATTTCTTTTTCTTTTTTTCCCTGCAGTACTGGGAATTGAACTCAGGACCTTGTGCTTGTGAGGCAGGCACAGTGCCACTGAGCTACATCTCCAGCCCCTGACTTTATCATTTCCTATGGGAACATGTGATAAAGTACAGCGGAAACTCGGTTCATTAACTTAATTTGTTCCAGATTTTGGAGAAGATGGCCATGTTTACATTTGTGCAGGAAAAATGGCCATGTTACCCAATGTAGGGCTTGCAAACAAAACCAAAATTTGCCAAAGGCTTGTTTGTGAACTAAGTCATTCATAACAAAAGCATTCTCAAACCAAGATGCAACTGTTAACCACTCCCCCAAAAAAAAACCCAAAACGAGCTGGGCGTGGTGGCGCACACCTGTAATCCCAGCACTCAGGAGGCTGAGGCAGGAGGATCACTGCGAGTTCGAGACCAGCCGGGGCTACATAGTGAGTTCCAGGTCAGTCTCAACTACATAGTGAGATCTTCTCTCAAAAAACCACACACAGGGGCCGGGGATTTAGCTCAGCGGTTTGGTGGCCTGCCTTGCAAGCACAAGGACCGAAGTTCAATCCCCCATAACCAAAAAAAAAAAA